AAATTACACTGAGACTCTACCTTAACTAGATACGTTCACTTAGCACCAGTTAGAGACAAAAATTACACTGAGACTCTTACCTTAACTAGATACGTTCACTTAGTACCAGTTAAGAGACAAAATTACACTGAGACTCAACCTTAACTAGATACGTTCACTTAGCACCAGTTAGGGGACAAAATTACACTGAGACTCTACCTTAACTAGATACGTTCACTTAGCACCAGTTAGGGACAAAATTACACTTCGAGACTCTACCTTAACTAGATACGTTCACTTAGCACCAGTTAAGAGACAAAATTACACTGAGACTCAACCTTAACTAGATAATGTCTTTACTCTAGCACCAGTTAGGGACAAATTACACTGAGACTCTACCTTAACTAGATACGTTCACTTAGCACCAGTTAGGGGACAAAATTACACTGAGACTCTACCTTAACTAGATACGTCTACTTAGCACCAAAGTCCAGAAGACAAAATTACACTTGAGACTTCTACCTTAACTATATACGTCTACTTAGCACCAGTTAGGGGACAAAATTACACTGAGACTCCACCTTTAACTAGATACTGCCCACTTAGCATCATCAGATAGGGGACAAAATTACACTGAGACTCTACCCATCACTCCACCCGCCACACACACACTCCACCCACCCATCACTCCACCCACCTATCAGGTCACCCACCCACCACTCGAACCACCCAACCCTACCCACCCATCAGTGCACCCGCCCATCCTCCATCCACCCATCACACCACCCACCATCACGCCACCACCCATCCGCCACCCACCCATCACGCCACCCACCCATCCTCCACCACAGCATTGCCACCCATCCACTCCACCCACATCACTCCATCCACCCATCAGTGCACCCCCATCACTCCCACCCACCGCCACTCCACCCACCCACCACTCCACCCACCACACCACTCCCACATCCTCCCCACCAGTGCACCACCACCCACCACTCCACCCACCCATCCTCCACCCACCCACCACTCCACCCACCCATCAGTGCACCCACCACTCCACCACCCATCAGTGCACCCACCATCAGTGCACCCACCCATCACTCCATCCACCCATCAGTGCACCCACCCACCCACCCATCACCCACCCATCCTCCACTCACCCATCACTCCACTCACCCATCCTCCACCCACCCATCACGGCACCCACCCATCACTTCACCCACCCCACCCATCCTCCACCTCCCATCCTCCACCCACTCATCCTCCACCCACCCATCCTCCACCCACCCACCTTTTCACCCAGTCATCACCACCCACCATCAGTGCACCCACATCCTCACCCACCCATCGCCACCCACCCATCACTCCACCCACCCCATCCTCCCCCACCCATTACTCCACCCACTCATCACTCGACCCACCCACCACTCCCACCACCCACCCTCCACCCACCCACCACTCCACCCACCCAGCAGTGCCAGCAGTGCCCCACCCATCACTCCATCCACCCATCCTCCATCCACCCATCAGTGCACCACCCATCCACTCCCACCCATCCTCACCCACCCATCCACTCCACCCACCCACCAACCCACCCAGCACTCACCACCCATCACTACACCCACCACTCCACCCACCACTCCACCACCATCACCACCCACCCATCAGTTCCCACCCATCAGTGCACCCACCACTCCACCCACCCATTACTCACCCATCAGTCACCCACGCACCTTTCACCCACCCATCAGTGCGCCCACCCATCATTCCACCCACCCACTACTCACCACCTTCATTCCACCACCCACCACTCCACCCTCCCCATCATTCACCCACCCATCACTCACCCACCATCATCACCCACTCATCATTCCACCCACCCATATTCCACCCACCTCATCACCCATCACTCCATCCACCCATCAGTGCCACCCCTCACCCCTCAATCAGTGCACCCACCACTCCACCACCCACTCCACCATCCATCCTCCACCACCCACCCTCCACCACCATCTCCACCGCACCACTCACCACGCACCGCTCACCACCCATCCTCCATCCACCCATCAGTGCCACCCACCACTCCACCCACCCATCAGTGCACCCACCCATCAGTGCCACCCATCATTCACCCACCATCATTCCACCCACCCACCCATCATTCCACCACCCATCCTCCACCACCCATCCACTCAACCCACCCATCATTCCACCCACCCATCACTCCATCCACCCATCAGTGCCCACCCATCAGTGCACCCACCCATCAGTCCACCCACCCACCCTCACCCACCCACCAATCTACCCACCCATCATTCCATCCACCCATCCTCCATCCACCCATCAGTACACCCACCCACCCATCCTCCACCCACCCATCCTCCCACTCACCCATCACTCCACTCACCCATCCTCCACCACCATCACGCCACCCACCCATCACTCCACCCACCCACCCATCACTCCCACCTACCCATCACTCCACCCACTCATCCTCCCACCCACCCATCCTCCACCCACCTTTTCACCCAGTCATCACCACCCACCCATCAGTGCCCCACTCACCACTCCACCCACCAATTCTCCACCCACCCATCAGTGCACCCACTCATCCTCCACCCACCCATCAGTGCATCCACCCATCATTCCACCCACCCATCATTTCACCAACCCATCACTCATCTACCCATCAGTGCACCCACCACCACTCACCCACCATCAGTGCACCCCATCCTCCATCCACCCATCAGTGCACCCACCCATCACTCCACCCACCCACCCACCCACCCATCAGTGCACCCACCCATCAGTGCACCCACCCATCACCTCCACCACCCACCACTCCACCCACCCACTACTCCACCCACCCATCAGTGCACCCACCCATCACTCCATCACCCATTAGTGCACCCACCCACCCACCCATCACTCCACCCACCCATCACTCCACTCACCCATCCTCCACTCACCCATCACGCATCACCCACCACCCATCCTCCCACCTACCCATCCACTCCACCCACTCATCCTCCACCCACCCATCCCCTCCACCCACCCTTTTCACCAGTCATCACCACCCATCATTACCCACTCACCACTCACCCCGCAATTACTCCACCCACCCATCAGTGCACCCTCATCCTCCACCCACCCATCACTCTACCCACCCATCACTCCACCACCCACCCAGCACTCTCCACCCATCACTCCACCCACTCATTACTCCACCACTCATCACTCCACCCACCCACCACTCGACCGACCCACCACTCCACCCACCCACCCACTCCACCCACCCACCCCCTCCACCCACCCAGCAGTGCACCCCAGCAGTGCACCCACCCATCCTCCATCCACCCATCCTCCATCCACCCATCAGTGCACCACATCCTCCACCCACCCACCCTCCACCCACCACCACCACTCCACCCACCCTCCCACCACCCATCCTCCACCACCCCCAACCCACCAGCCTCCACCCACCATCACTACACCCACCACACTCACCCACCCATCACCACCCACCCATCAGTGCACCCATCAGTGCACCCACCCACCCTCCACCCACCCATTACTCCTCCCATCAGTCACCCACGCACCTTTCACCCCACCCATCAGTGCACCCACCCATCATTCCACCCACCCACCACTCCACCCACCTTCATTCACCCACCATCATTCACCACCCCACCACTCCACCCACCCATCATTTCCACCCATCACTCCACCACCCACCACTCCCACCCACCCATCTTTCCACCCACCCATCAGTGCACCCACCCTCAGTGCCCCACCCATCAGTGCACCCACAATCACTCCATCACCCATCATTCCACCACCCACCACTCCACCCACCCATCATTCCACCCACACCATCCTCACCCACCCATCACTCACCCATCATTCACCACCATCACTCCATCCACCCATCAGTCACCCACCCACCACTCCCACCCACCACCAATCTACCCACCCATCATTCCATCCACCCATCACTCCATCCACCCATCAGTGTACCCACCCATCAGTGCACCCACCATCCATTCCACCCACCCACCACTCCACCCACCACCACTCCACCCACCCACCACTCCACCCACCCATCATTCCACCCACCCATCATTCCATCACTCCACCCACCCATCACCACCCACCCACCCATCACTCCACACCACCCTCCACTCCACCCACTCATCTACCCACCATCAGTGCCCACTCACCATTCCACCCACCGATTCTCCACCCCCATCAGTGCACCCTCATCCTCCCACCACCATCCTCCACCCACCCATCCTCCACCACCACCCACCACTCCACCCACCCATCCTCCCACCCTCATCCTCCACCCACCCATCACTCCAGCCACCCACCCTCCCACCACCCACCACTCCACCCAGCAGTGCACCACCCATCCTCCACCCATCAGTGCACCCACCCATCCTCCTCCACCCACCCAGCACTCCACCCACCCAGCACTCCACCAACCCAGCACTCCACCCACCACTCCACCCCATCCCACCCACCCAGCCCACCCAGCACTCCACCCACCCATCACTACACCCTCCACCCACCACTCCACTCACCCATCCTCCACCACCCACCAGCCCACCCACCCACCAGCCCACAGCCTCACTCACCCATCACTACCTCACCCACCACTCCACCCAACCCATCAGTGCACCCACCATCAGTGCACCCATCCATCAGTGCACCCACCCATCAGCGCACCACCCATCACTCACCCACCCACCTATCAGTGCCCACCATCAGTGCACCCACCCATCAGTGCACCCACCATCAATGCACCACCCATCAGTGCACCCACCCATCACTCCACCCACCCACCCACCACTCCACCCACCTCAGTGCCCACCCCATCACTCCATCCACCCATCAGTGCCCCACCCACCATCACTCCTCCACCCATCCTCCACTCACCCATCACACCACCTACCCATCCTCCCACCCACCCAGCAGTGCACCCACCCATCAGTGCATCCACCCATCAGTGCACCCACCCATCACTCACCACCACCCATCCCACCTACCATCAGTGCACCCACTCATCACTCACCCACCCATCCTCCACCCACCCACCACTTCACCCACTCATCACCACCCACCATCAGTGCACCCACTCATCCTCCACCAATTACTCCCACCCACCCATCAGTACCCACCCATCCTCCACCCACCCATCCTCCCACCCACCATCACTCCACCCACCACCCACCCTCCACCCACCACCACTCCACCCACCACCACTCCACCCACCGACCACTCCACCCACACATCACTCCCACCCATCCTCCCACCCCCATCAGTCACCACACCTTTCACCCACCATCAGTGCACCCACCCATCATTCCACCCACCCACCACTCCCACCTAACCTTCATTCAACACTATTGACTATGTTTCTTCTTTTAAATATCTTGGTATTCGTCCCTTGTGCCCTACCTGCCATACAAACTAACCGCCAATGTACTGACAGACTGAGACCTCTTAGAAGTGTGGCGGGTACAGCCCGCACTATGGTGCTAATATTAAATTGTTAAAACAATGTACCTGGGCTATATAAGATATCTGATCGATTACCACGCACCAGCCTGGTCATTTCGTGACAGGAAAAGGCGTTGACAAGCTCAATGAAATAAGCCCTCAGGAATTATCCTAGGATGTCCATGAGCACTAAAGAGATAGAACTAGGTATGCCAGTGTTAAGATCCGAATAATTGAAGTCAACCTCCAAGATAGCTAAGGCTTCTGCGTGGTGATCCTGATAACATTGTTTCTAAAATTGCTGAAATATGTATGAACCATGGGACTACTGAGTCTAAATGGATCCAAACTTTACAGCTACACATATGAAGATGTTGGACCCAACCACCTGTACAAAGGTTGAGACACAACAGCGCTTCCTGCCACCCTGGCGGACAGTTCCTTCGATATCCTGATAAACGTATCCGCCTAAAAATTAATTATACAAAGCATTTATCTCCAACACACTGCCAAATTGAGAGCTCTTGAACACATACACACACTCTACAGACTCATGATAATATCACACAGACCATCTACACTGATGGATCTCTAAACACCGCCAGTGGGAGGCTGGAAGATGCTATTGTTGTGACTCAACTTGACGGTAATGTAATTGAAAGTTAGTGCAACTGGGCATCACTCTACAAAATGGTTGTCATACTCACAGCTATTAAATTCATTGCAAACCACTTTTACTGACAGTCTCATCATCACTGACTCTCTATCCTCACTACTTGCCCTTGGTACCCTCGACTCCAGGTTGTCACACTTTTGTCTCTGAGCCAGACACAAATATCGTGCCTTGTTGATCCAGTGTCAGGGTCAAGCTATTGTGGATCCCCTCACAGGCCTCATAAAACATGACAGAGTTGATGCCTCGCCAAACTCGTCTGCTACAAAACCTTGAATACAATTTGGGTCTGTCAGCATGAACATAAACTGTAATTTAGAAGGTTGATGAGTTTGACGCAAGTAGACAAGTGCAAACAGGCACTAGTCGATCCCATAGGTTACCATGATGAGATATCCAGTGAAACATGTTAAGGGCAGTAACAGATCACTGAATTACAAGATGTTGTGCCGCTAGTTAAGGTTAGGATATAAGTACCCTTTGGCAGTATGTTTTTCTAAGCAGATGTAAAAACTAAATGTAAAATTAGTGTGGCCATACATATGGCCACACTTAACACAAGTCTCGACTGTGTGAAGATAAAACCTTTTGAGACAGGTCCAAGCACACTGTGTGTGAAAGCACAACACTTCATCTCTAATGTAGATAGCCGACATATTAAGATTGTATCCACTTTTTGCACTTAGTAACTATATCAATTCTCATGTACAGAACCAAATACACAATGTGTGAATACCTCCCACGTAAATGTAATAACAAAGTGTGAGGCCAGACATACCTCACACGCCTGTACCCACATTTGTGAATAAAGTTACCCTTTATGTATAACTAAACAAATAATGTAAATGAAATACTGTGTAACATTCAGTGCCATAATATCCTGACAACGGGGGTTAATTATTATGACCCTTTGTAAACCTACTCTGTAATCCTTTCGCGCTACCGCTCACAGGATGAGTGTGGGGTGCACAATAAAGTAGCCGCTGCAAGCAAAATAAAAATCAACCCTTCATTCCACCCACCCACTCCACCTCCCATCATTCCACCCACCCACCACTCACCCCACCCATCATCCCACCCACTCATCATTCCACCCACCCATCATTCCACCCACCCATCACTCCACCCACCCATCCTCCATCCACCCATCAGTACCCACCCACCACTCCACCCCCCATCAGTGCAACCCACCACTCCACCCACTCCACACCCACCACTCCACCCATCCATCACTCCACCACCACACTCCACCCACCCATCCTCCACCCACACTCACCCACACACCCTCACCCACACACCGCTCCACCCACCCATCACTCCATCACCCATCAGTGCACCCACCCTCCCCCCCATCAGTGCACCCACCCACCCTCCACCACCCACCCTCCACCACCCCACTCCACCCATCCATCCTCCACCCACCCACCCTCCACCCACCCATCCTCCCCACCCTCCCACCCACCTCCCACCCACCTGCCCTCCACTCACCCATCATCCACCCATCAGTACACCCACCATTCCACCACCCATCCTCATCCACCCATCGTGCCCACCCATCAGTGCACCACCCATCATTGCACCCACCCATCCTCCAACCACCCACCCATCATTACCACCCATCGTGCACCCACCCATCAGTCCTCACCCCACCCTCCACCACCATCATTCCATCCACCATCACTCCATCCACCCATCAGTGTACCCACCCATTAGTGCACCACCCATCATTACCCACCCACCTCCACCCACCTTCATTCCACCACCCATCAGTGCACCCACCCATCCTCCACCCACCCACCTCCTCCACCCACCCACCACTCACCCTCATCACCACCCACCCAGTACCCTCACCCACTCCACCCACCGATTACTCCACCCATCAGTGCACCCTCATCCTCCACCATCATACTCCACCCATCCTCCACACCCACCCACCACTCCACCCCTCATCCTCCCCCCATCCTCCAGCCACCACCCTCCACCACCACCACTCCACCCACCCACCCTCCCACCACCCAGCAGTGCACCACCCATCCTCCATCCATCCATCAGTGCACCACCATCCCTCCACCCATCCTCCACCACCCACCCACCTCCACCCACCCACCCACCACTCCACCCACCCATCCTCCACCCCACCCATCAGTGCCCACCACCCACACTCACCACCCATCCTCCCACCACCATCACTCCACCCCACCCATCAGTGCCCACCCATCAGTGCACCCACCACCATCAGTCCACCACCTTTCCACCCCCATCAGTACCCACCCATCATTCCACCCACCCCCCTCCACCCACCTTCATTCCCCACCCACCCTCCACCCACCCATCATTCCACCACCATCCTCCACCCCACCCATCATCCCACCACTCATCATTCCACCCACCCATCATTCCACCCATCCATCCTCTCCACTCCCATCCTCCATCCACTCATCAGTGCACCACCCACCACTCCACCCCCCATCAGTACCCCCACCCTCCTCCCCCACCACCCCCCATCCATCACTCCACCACCACCACTCCCACCCACCTCCTCCCACCACGCACCTCCCACCACACACACCGCTCACCCACCCATCCTCCATCCACCCATCAGTGCACTCACCACCTCCACCCACCCATCATTCCACCCACCATCACTCCATCCACCCATCAGTGTACCCACCCATCCTCCACCCACCCATCAGTACCCACCCATCAGTGCATCCACCCATCATTCCACCCACCCACCTCTCCACCCACCCATCATTCCACACCCATCTCCATCCCCCATCAGTGTACCCACCCATCTGTGCACCTACCCATCATTCACCCACCACCCCTCCACCCACCACCTCCACCCACCCATCATTCCACCCATCCATCATTCCACCCATCCATCAGTCACCCACCATGGTACCCACCCATCATTCCACCTCACCCATCATTCCACCCACCCATCATTCCACCACCCATCATTCCACCCACCCATCCTCCACCCACCCATCAGTGCACCCACCCTCCACCCAACCATCAGTGCACCCACCCACCACTCCACCCCCACCACTCCACCCACCCATCCTCCACCCACCCATCCTCCACCCCATCCATCTCCCCACCCATCACTCACCCACCACCCATCAGTGCACCACCATCATTCCACCACCATCATTCCACCCACCCATCCTCCACCGTACCCATCATTCCACCCACCCATCCTCCACCCACATCAGCGCACCCACCCACTCCACCCACCATCAGTGCCCACCCACCACCCCACCACTCCACCCCACCCATCCTCCACACCCTTCCTCCACTCATCAGTGCACCCATCCATTAGTGCACCACCCATCCTCCACCCACCCATCCCCCACCCACCCTCCACCCCACCCTTCAGTCACCCTCCCCCACCACTCCACCCATCCTCCACCCACCATCCTCCCCCACCCATCCTCCCCCACCCATCCTCCACCCACCCATCCTCCATCCACCCATCAAGTGCACCCACCCATCCTCCACCCACCCATCAGTGCACCCACCCATCAGTACCACCCACCACCCCCCCACCACCCACCCACATCCTCCACCCCACCCACCCTCCACCCACCCTCCTCCCCACCCATCACTCCACCCCACCCATCCTCCACCACCATCCTCCACCCACCCATCACTCCACCCATCCCATCCTCCACCCACCCATCCTCCACCCACTCATTAGTGCACCCACCCCACCCATCAGTGCACCCACCCACCACTCCACCCACCCACCACTCCACCCACACCTTCATTCCACCCACCCCTCAATCTACCCAGACCTCAATCCACCCGCACCTACACCACTCGACCGACCCATCACTCCACCCACACCGTCATTCCACCCACTCATCACTCCACCAGCACCTACACCACTAGTGATGGTGGTAGTGGTGGTGGTGGTGATGGTGGTAGTGGTGGTGGTGACGGTGACGGTGATAGTGGTGGTGGTGATGGTAGTAGTGGTGATAGTGGTAGTGACAGCCACTTATTATGATGATCCCAGCACCAGTAATTTCAGCCTGTTGTGTTCTTTTATTGTTATTGATATGTTCAGTTATTGGGTCCTGTTGTGTTCTGTTTAAACACACAATAGAACAAGTGAAACTCAGAGATCGAGCGACGCTGAGGGAAAAAATCTTCACCCCCCCTCCCTCCCGTGGGAACTCTCTCCATGGTAGTGGGGGGAAATTTGTGTAGTTGGCGCCAGTCTATGCTGTGCCGTGGTGGTGGACACTAGCTTAAAGTTCTCTCCTTCTTGCTACTGCTTGGAGTGGGGTCGTGTAGGCAAGGAGACAGCGTCTTGGATTCCCAGGGCATTACAAGTTGATTCTTTTCCTTAACTGATCCTAAAGACAATTCATCTGTAGGTATACTGTAGGTTGTGTTCGGTGATGTGACCCTCCCACCCATCAATGTGTTGTGTATTAGTAAGTCAGTTCGGTTTTTAGTCAAAAGATTATACTGAACCAGATCCTGGAACTATACGTACGTTGAATATTCCCTTTAATAATGGTAATAAGTGAACGTGTCTAGTTACGGTAGTCTAATCGTGACCGTACGTGTGTGTGGTGGGGGTGTGTATGTGTGTCAGTTGTGTGCGGTAACGTAACATACCGTTACAGGAGGAGGAAATTGGTGTTACGAACTTTAATAATAATATTAAAAAAAACTGACGTTGCTAACCTTTGAAGCTTCACTGTTAGGCAGAGTGAGGGAGAGAGTTTTGAAGCTCACCTGCCTGGATACTGTTCTGTGATGTCTGCCTTTCTGTCTGCTTGTATGTCTTCCTGTCTGCTTGTCTACCTTCCTTTCTGCCATTCTGTCTGCCTTCCTTCTTGTCTGCTTGTCTGCCTTCCTTCTTGTCTGCTCGTCTGCCTTCCTGTCTGCCTGCCTGTCTGCCATTTTGTCTGCCTGCTTGCCATCCTGTCTGCCTGCCTGCTTTCTTAACTGCCTGCCTTCTTGTCTACCTACCTGCCTACCTTCCTTCCTTCCTGCCTGCCTATCTATCTATCTACCTGCCTTCCTTCCTGCCTGCCTCCTTGCCTTCCTGCCTGCCTCCTTGCCCCCCTGTTTGCCTCCCTCCCTCCCTCCTGTCTGCCTCCCTCCCTCCCTCCTAGCCAGTCAGCCAGACTGCCTGCTAACCAGCTTGTTCGCCCGCCCTTCATATTGTTCGTTGAGTCAAAAATAATCGTGCTTCATTCTTTCGCCGTTACCAAACTAGTTTTACGTGTTATTATTATAAATATTATGTACTGTATGTATGGTGGCCGAGGTTGCCATCAATAGTCAGTGTTCCCCTTTACTCAGCTTCCAGGCGAGAATTACCTACCCGGAGTTACTACACAAGCTGCTTCTTCCTTCCTTCACCACGTCCCGCCTCTCTCGCTTACCATATCTACACTTTTACCCTAGAAGCCTCATTTTTTCTTCTATCCCAGGAACTTACTTTTCCCCCTCCAATCCACTTTTTTTTTTTTACCAGGAACATATCTTTTCCCATTAGGTACACAGGAACATAATTTTTTCCTTCGGAACCACATTTTTTTCCCTAGGAACTTACTTTTTCCCCCCAGGAACACACTTTTTGCCTTGAGACATTATTTACAGTAGTTGTTCTCTATTTCACTCTATCCACTTATCCTCTAATTCTACGTTTTTTGCCCCGGACCAACTCCCCGTGAGGCACTTGGGTGGAGTGAGGGAGTAAAGAGGGAGGAGTGAGGAATGAGGGAGGGATGGAGTAAGGAAGGAGGGAGGGAGGGAGTAAGGAGGAGGGAGGAGTAAGGAGGGGGGGATGGAGTAAGGAGTGAGGGAGGGATGGAGGAAGTAAGGAGGGAGGGAGTATGGAAGGAGGGATGGATGGAGTAAGGAAAGAGGAAGTGAGGGATAGCGTATTATGTGAGGGAGGGATGGAGTAACGAAGGGGAGTTGACGGAGTAAGGGGGTGGGTGCCAGCTAGAGAATTTCTCCAGTTAATACTTAAGATTGATCACCCTTACCGCCCTCCCAACCCCCACACCACGTCCGTTATGCTTTCTTCACTGCTCACCGTGGATCACTGAAGATCACAGTCATGTAGATCTCCCCCTCCCTCCCCCTCACTACTACTTTTCTGAACACACACACACACACACACAGGTAAAGTGAAGCTCGTTTGATTGATGCTCACGTTGTGTTCACCTCTCACATGATGCAGACATTGATATTTTTTTTAGTTCACCAGTCTTGTCAGCTCACTGTTGGGTCTGTTGAAGCTGGGGAGAAACGAAAACATCATGCATACAACTTTCTTTTTCTTGTAGTGTAAATAACTGACGGGTAAATGGTGTAATGAGCCCAGGGACTAGTGGTAATAATGTGTGGTACATGTAGATGAACTCCTGGGGAAAAGTGTGACGCCATTGTGATAATACCAGGAAAAAATTTATGAAAAAAAAACGAAAATATTGACTGTTTACGAAGTGTTCAACCCACCCTGAAACAGAGCGACAAAAATGAACATCTTCTTTAGAAAGCGGTAAGTGGTATGTACAGTTTAAAGAGGAATGTTAGTGTTGATGAGACCTTGAGCAACTAACACCTTTGTCTCATATGGTAACATTTATTTTCTAATGTGCCATTTAAGGTGTCGTTTGTCAGCTCAAAATATCCAAGTTATACTCTAAAGTAAGTTAAGTAAGGTTAAGATTGGTGGTCCAGCCAGTGTGTAATAAACGTTTTCTCCGCCAGGGTGTGTGAGATGGACCTCTCGGCGGCCATGGAGGAAGCCAAGCTAGCCTGTAGCTACTTCTTCAACAACCGCTTCGAGGAGGCCAGAGCGCTAATGAGGCCGTGGTGAGTACCACCTCTTGTACTCATGGTAGTGAGTAACCAAGGACTATGCACAGTAAGGACACACCACTGTAACGTCATAAAATGTAGCTCCACCCCATTCAATGACGTCACGCTACCCCTGTTGACTAGATGGTGCCCAAGGACTGCGGCCTTGTCTTGGTTGACGTTTGATTGTTTCGTTTTTTTTTAATCGTAAGGCTAAGACTTTTCTGTGGCCAGGTATAACAAAGTGAATGCCTTATGTTCTCATAGTCTTCCAACAAACAAGTGATATAAAAAAAAAAAAAAAAAAAAAAAAAAAATATATATATATATATATATATATATATATATATATATATATATATATATATATATATATATATATATATATATATATATATATATATATATATATATATATATATATATATATATATGTGATAACCACAAGGGAGAAGAAAACACGGTTCCCAGCGCTTTCATTCAATTTCATCTTCAGGGGGAGTACAGACTAGAGAGAAATACAAATCAAGGTGTATATATACAGAGGAGGGTGAGACCAGGTCCACTTACGACGGGGTTAGGGACCCCCAGGTCGTAAGTCCGACATGGTCGTAAGTCCGACATAGATAAAAAAAAAAAAAAAAAAAAATTAATAAAAAATCTACAATGAAATACAGTACAGTAAAAGTAATGAATAATGATGAATGGATACAGTACAGTGAAAGTAATAAATAATAAGGAATGGATACAGTGTGACTGAGCACTTAACCTTTAATGTAGTCAGCTGAATGCACATGGGGCCCCCATAATTTTCTAATTATACATGGAGACTACATTAACTGGAAACGTTTCGGTATAGAAAATGCGTGTGTCATTTGAAAAAAAAATTTTAATAAAAAATCTGCGGCGGTCGTAAGTCCGACGGTCGTAAGTCCACGTAGTCGTAAGTCGGGGTCTATATATATATATATATATATATATATATATATATATATATATATATATATATATATATATATATATATATATATATATACACACAAAATGTGTCTGAACCTGTGGCAGTGTCTGTCATGCCTGGTTTTAAATGAGCTCACACATTGGTGCAGTCACAACCTTCTGACAGTTTATTTCACGAGCTCACATCTCTTACCCCATAAAAGCTCACACTGACATTTTTCTGAATTTGTGGCTTCTTTAATCTGAGGCTGTGACCTCTAGTGGGGCATGGCATCTACCAGCTCCAGGTATAAAGACTCACCTTAATAATTTCTGCTGAGGTGTTTATAAACTTCTATTAAGTCACCCTTTGCCAGCCGAGCGTACAAACTGAGCAACAGCAGGCGCTCTCAAGTCTCATCTCTCTGGGTATCTGAAGTGCTGGAGTACAGGCACCAGTCTGGTAGCAATTGAAAATGTGTTGTTTATTTCTGTTAGTAAGAGAAGTTTTAGGAACAATGGTGACAGATCCACTGAAGCTACAACACAAAGATGCCAGATATAATAATATTTGTCTCCATATATTGTGAGTGTATTTTTATTCCCTTTTAAAGTTTATAGATTTTTTTTATTGTTGATTCCCTTCCACATATAGTACAGTACAATGTACTATATTCTTATTCATTCTTTTCCTTCCTAACTCTACTATCTTCCTCAGTCCCTCCACACTTCCCTCCACTCAGTCCCTCCACAGTCCCTCCACACTTGACCTTTTCTCACCCCCCCCCCTGACCACCTTCTCATGTCCTGCAAGGTTTACTTAGAACAATATCTGAAAGTGCTTATCTCCTTCCCCAGGGCACATAAGAGCATGTACCATGGGCTTGGCTATGGCACCTTCATGTATCTTCAAGCCATCATGACCTTTGACCCTGTGAGTGACTTGACCTAACTGTCCATGTAGCTTCATGAGACACAAGGCTTTCTCAGAAGACTACTTGTCTACTTTAGTTAATGAATATATATTTATACCTGGAATATCCTTCTCTATTATGCTCAATCTAACTATAAAGGAGAATAACCATCAATGCATCATACATACATAGACACAGCGAGTCCTCGGGTTACGAACGCTCGCCGATACGAACGAGGTTCCATAAGGTAAATTATTTTAAGAATCCAATATAGGTACAACTGGTTTGTAGTACAGTATTAACATACGAGAACTAGTTTGCGTGGTGTAGCAGCAAGGCAGAGCAGCAGGTGGGAGTAATGCATCACCCAGCCATGTGCCTTGAGGGAGTGTCGATACGCCTTGCCCTCACCTCAGTAACGTGTGTGATCAAGTGCAAACTGTTGTTTTTTGCTTATTAACTCAATTTTTTTGCCCTCATCATGACTCCCAAATGCAAAGCTGGTGCAAGTGATAGTAATGCATCCAAGAAAAGGAAAAAAAATTACAATGGAAGTGAAAGTTGATGTAATCAAATGTTCTGAAAAAGGCAAAACACCCTCAATCATTGGTAAAGCGTTGGGCTTCAGTCGGTCTACTGTCGGAACAATTTGAAAAGACAATCAGAAAATTCTTGATTATGTAAAAGGATCTACACCAATGCACTCAACTGTTACAACAAAACAAAGAAGTGCATTGATAATTGAAATGGAAAGATTGTTAGTGATATGGGTGGAAGATCAAAATCAATGGCATTTCCCTATAAGTGTAGTCTTGATTCAGAAAAAAGCGAGAAGCTTGCACGATGACTTGAAGGCTGCACATGATGAAAGTGATGGGGAAGATTTTGTCACTAGTAGGGGCTGGTTTAATTAGTTCAAGGTAAGGGCAAACTTACATAACATTAAAGTGCAGAGTGATTCTAGATGTATAAAAGGACTTAGGTTATGGTATAGTGCACATTGGGTATGTTTTCCGACTTGCATACATTGCCGACTTAAGAATGTCCTCAGGAAAGGAACTCGTTCGTAATCCGAGGACCCCATGTACTGTACATACATACATATCTCATCAGTCCACATAGCATGCGGAGTTCCATATACAGTACAAACAATACCTCATTTTTGGGGGAATCTAACCCTGGACCTCTGCGTGTGAACAGGCATCTCTACCACCATGCCCCATGGACAACAAAAGCATACGTATGTACAGTATGTATGTATGTATGCATGCTCCATCTCAATATAAAGGAGAATAACCATCATTGTGTATATATATATATATATATATATATATATATATATATATATATATATATATATATATATATATATATATATATATATATATATATATATATATATATATATATATATATATATATACTGAACCATTGTAAAATTGTATGAAGATTTTACTGAAAATCTGTGTAGAGGCCATAACAAGGCAGCAAGCAACATTCCTGCACTACTGTTTATCTTGTGCACAACATCTTAAAGTATTATTTATGTGAGTCATGTATCATATACATATAATGGTAGATACTGTACTGTATTTAGATCAGTATTATAATTTAATATATTTTCCTAAGAGGTGGAGAGTATTTTTGTTGATCATAGAATTTTGTTCTGTGTAGCTGCCCTTTATTTTATGAATATCACATTGAATAATGAGCAGGAACTTGGTGCTACAGTTTTTATGCATACGCATTTCAGAAAGACATCGAAATTGCCATCGATGCACTGAAACAGAGTGTGGATGTGTGTAATCGCTTCAGACGGAAGAATACTCTTGGAGAATCCTTAGGCAAGATGGTAAAGAAGGTCGATTACAATTCCTTCACCAAAGGTAATCTTGATGTCTTAATAAATTATGGCAGTTATATTGACCCCTGAAATTACTTTCTCAAGGTACAAGTGTAATTTTCATTTATTTTATTTATTTTAAGTGACACACCCTAGGTTGGTCCACAGTGTTTATTGCTAAGTTAACAAAACACAAGTAAAAACAATTCTGTCTGATAGAAATGACATTTATAGGTGTAAAAAAAATTTTATTAAGGTCTTACAGTATAATACAGGGGGTCCTCATTGTCAGTGGTTAATAGAGAACAGAAAAAGTCATTGATAATGAAACCACTTATAAAGGTTAATTAATTCCCAATAGAATTAATAGGAATAGGGTCTAATTGGGACATCACATTGTAAGTGACACTCATAAAGTTTAATTTGGTATCTTTTAACATTATATATATATATATATATATATATATATATATATATATATATATATATATATATATATATATATATATATATATATATATATATATATATATATATATATATATATATATATATATATGTATGTATGTATGTATGTATGTATGTAATCAACGACCTCACCAGCCAGGACTCGAACCCTCGACCTACTGCGTGGGACCAGGGAACGTTACTGACCATGCCACAAGAACACTAAAAGCAGTTCTAGACTATGTTATATTTCACACAAAGCCTCTTCATCGAGCTGATGGCGCCGAGAACCTCCCATTGGGAACTGCCCGTGCCGCTTATGTGGATGTCAGTACAGGTTGTACCTCTCTAGTCCGGCATTCTGTGGTCCGGAAACTCCCGTGGTCCGAAACTATTTTAGTTTGTCCAATAGGTAGATAGGCAGTTTTTTTTTTTTTTTTTACTTATCTGAATTATTATTATTATTACAGGAACATACATTTTGCCCCTCAGGCTCCAATGTGGGTCAGTGACCTATGCCGGTGGTCTAATCCCGTAAAAAAAAAACCCAAAGCGGGAAATTAAGGTTTGTTTACATCAAGCTCTCTCTCTCTCTCTCTCTCTCTCTCTCTCTCTCTCTCTCTCTCTCTCTCTCTCTCTCTCTCTCTCTCTCTCTCTCTCTCTCTCTCTCTCTCTCTCTCTCTCTCTCTCTCTCTCTCTCTCTCTCTCTCTCTCTCTCTCTCTCTCTCTCTCTCTCTCTCTCTCTCTCTCTCTCTCTCTCTCTCTCTCTCTCTCTCTCTCTCTCTCTCTCTCTCTCTCTCTCTCTCTCTCTCTCTCTCTCTCTCTCTCTCTCTCTCTCTCTCTCTCTCTCTCTCTCTCTCTCTCTCTCTCTCTCTCTCTCTCTCTCTCTCTCTCTCTCTCTCTCTCTCTCTCTCTCTCTCTCTCTCTCTCTCTCTCTCTCTCTCTCTCTCTCTCTCTCTCTCTCTCTCTCTCTCTCTCTCTCTCTCTCTCTCTCTCTCTCTCTCTCTCTCTCTCTCTCTCTCTCTCTCTCTCTCTCTCTCTCTCTCTCTCTCTCTCTCTCTCTCTCTCTCTCTCTCTCTCTCTCTCTCTCTCTCTCTCTCTCTCTCTCTCTCTCTCTCTCTCTCTCTCTCTCTCTCTCTCTCTCTCTCTCTCTCTCTCTCTCTCTCTCTCTCTCTCTCTCTCTCTCTCTCTCTCTCTCTCTCTCTCTCTCTCTCTCTCTCTCTCTCTCTCTCTCTCTCTCTCTCTCTCTCTCTCTCTCTCTCTCTCTCTCTCTCTCTCTCTCTCTCTCTCTCTCTCTCTCTCTCTCTCTCTCTCTCTCTCTCTCTCTCTCTCTCTCTCTCTCTCTCTCTCTCTCTCTCTCTCTCTCTCTCTCTCTCTCTCTCTCTCTCTCTCTCTCTCTCTCTCTCTCTCTCTCTCTCTCTCTCTCTCTCTCTCTCTCTCTCTCTCTCTCTCTCTCTCTCTCTCTCTCTCTCTCTCTCTCTCTCTCTCTCTCTCTCTCTCTCTCTCTCTCTCTCTCTCCTCTCTCTCTCTCTCTCTCTCTCTCTCTCGTACAACATTTAACCCTTCAATATATATGAGCAGTAAATAAGTGTTGCTTTCATATTCTTAAGTAGAGTAATGACGATATGTTTTCACATGTGTGCACTTACATACACGCAGTCTCACTTTTTTTTTACCATTAATGGTTAGCTACTTATATTGGCTACTTATATTGTTCCATTTATTAACATTACAGGTACTTCAAACAACTATATTAATTTTTTTACATTAATTTTACTACAGCTACAATCAGGGTCTTATTTTCTTCAGTTTTATATGTAGAACCAATCAGTCACTGGTTTTGTAAGCTTTAACAAAAACAATGCCGGCAGCCGTCTCGTCTGCTCGTGTGTTTTAATATTCCATGTATTATTAATATATTGTATTGTTAATTTTGCACACACAAACATTAATTCAATAAAAACAAATTCAGAAACATTAATTAAAATATATATGAACAGTAAATAAGTGTTACTTTCATATTCTTATGTAAAGTAATGACGATATGTTTTCACGTGTGCGCACTTACATACGCGATCTCTCTTTTTTCTTTACCATTATCGTTAGCTACTTCTATTGTTCCATTTATTAACATTAAATAACATTACTTAAAACAACCATATTAATTTTACTACAGCTACAACCAGGTTCTTATTTTCTTCAGTTTTATATGTAGAACCAGTCAGTCACTGGTTTTGTAATCAACGAAAACAATGCTGTCTCATTTCCTCGTGTTTTAATATTCTACGTATTATTAATGAATTGTATTGCTCATTTTGCACACTCAAACATTAATTCAATCAAAAAGACTTTCAGTAATAAACAATAATGAATCTTTTGTATATAAGAGAAATGACGCTGTTTACACGATTTTGCACGTCGTCTGAACGTTGGTGGGCCGTTCAAACCCGTCGAAATTCAAGTTTCCGCCGTTAAAATTTTTAAATGTGTTGTTTTTTGTGTGTGTTCAAATAGAAAACGTTGAATTAAAAACTTGCGAAATTTAAGAAGCTACTGTACGACATTTAACCCTTCAATATGTCTTCAAAGAGACCATGATGCAGAGAAAGTGGTGCTAGTGCTTCCAAGCATAAGCACAAGTCACTGTCTATCCAGGAAAAGGGTGAATTTCCATGGTCTGGAAATTTCCATGGTCCGGCACCGGTCAGGTCCCGAGGTTGCCGGACTAGAGAGGTACAACCTGTAGCATTTTACCGAATCCAGGTGGTATGAAACACGAGGTACCATATATACTTCATTTTTAGTCCATATAACACGCGGATTTTGAACATATAATCAACGACCTCACCAGCCAGGACTCGAACCCTCGACCTACTGTGTGGGACCAGGGAATGTTACCGACCATGCATTATTTTGTGGAATTATTTAACTTTACAACTTATTTAAGGTGTGTTAACCATACACTCACACACTCATTTCAGTGAAAGTGGTTCATTGAGACATGCTTACCACTTTTCTTGCAACATGTAACTTCTAATTTCACATCCATCCCATAGTTACTACACTTCCTTTTAGCTACTACATCACCTTGCTTCGGTTTGGAGCTGATGGCTACAAAAATAGCCCACCAATATCACCAAAGACACAACAAAGTTGATAATTATAGTTCTTGGAGCACTTCAAAATAATGCCTGTAGACACAGGCGACTGGTCCTAAGCATGCAGGATAGGAGGTGGGAGGGAATTTCAATCACTCCAAACACTTACGCTCCCAAAGATTGAATGATTTTAACCTTAGAATGCTCCTAACTGCGGGGACTTTTTATGTGGAGGTCCACAATTATTTGACCACTTAAGTGCGAAATCACTTATAATGAAGACACTTATGACAAGGACCCCTTGTATTATGGTAGAATACTGGGTACTGTACTTACTGTGATGAATGACATTAAAATTCTTTCTCTTCAGATTTCATAAAGAATCTGTTGTTTTCTTGTACAGTACAGTAGTACTATGTATTAAGTGATGAAAATCCAAGTACTGTATAGTACTGTATTGATCAAAAGTGTCCATTAAGTGGTACACAGAAGTTTAAAGAGGTAATACTCTTAATTACACAGAAATTTAAAGGGGAAGTATTCTCAGTTAGACACAAGTCCATATTCTTAGTTACACAGGACATGAAGTAATAGTATGAACTGGTTCCCATAATTCTTATTCAATGATTTATTTTTTGAGTCTACAGAAACTAAATTTATAATTTTGTCAACAGAGGAGATTCATGCTGAGCTGTGCTACGCAGAGTGTCTGTTGCTGCGAGCAGTCCTTTCCTTCATGGAGGACGAGACTCTTATAAGCTTCCTCAAAGGTGGCATGAAGATCAGAGCTTGTTACCAGTCTTACAAGTGAGTAGTACAGTAGTTAAAACATTGTGGCGTGGAGATTCTGAACAGTACAGTGTCTCAAAACTTCAAAACTAATAGTGTGCCATTTTATTTATTGAAATACAGTGAAACCTCTATTTAATGGACTACTGCATATAGATAAGAAATTCCATTATATTGAGGGTTTGTTAGATGTGAAACCTCCATCTAAAGAACAATGTAGAGAAGAAATTTAATTATATTGAGGGTCCGCTGGATGTAAAAACCCCATCTGACGGATTATATGGAGAGTTAAGTCCATTATATGGAGGATTCACTGTGCTTAATAGGGAAATTGTATGCGAGAAAGTTACCTTAAGCCAATATATCCCAACAGGGAGTGTTGGTACATCCTGGAAGGTCGTGACTGGAGCAAAGATCCTGACAAAATGCACTTTGAGTCTGGTGTAAGAATGGGTGTAGGAGCCTTTAATCTTGTAAGTTATATTCCTTTACTTGTTTTTTGAGAGGGAAGTCAAAATTAGTTTATATGGGTATACAGCAGTGTACCCAATTGGGTACTGTATACTATACATCAAACAATTCACATGAATTCTATCCATGAAATTTTAATGTAACCTATTAGATAGTCTTAGATGACACTTTTGAAGTACTGTACTGTATGTGAGTTCTTTTTTAGTTAATTAGATCTGTGGTGCATTACTAAAGGGATGCCACTTTCAATATTTTATTTAGCTTATGGCTGACAATTCTATTCAGCACACAAGGTGTTAATTATGAAAATACCCTACATAAATTAAGAAAAAATTTAATCCTTATTAGAAAAACTCAAAAACCAATATGGCTGGGTCATGTGTAGGCGTCATGTTAGTACACAATATGTATCCTGGGCAGCCTGGTCATCATGTTGGTACACAATATGTATCTTGGTTATCATGTTAGTATGCAATATCAAGGTCAGTTTTGTCATGTTCAGTATACTTTACATGAGGTTTCTCAAAATGGTGGCTGACCCCACATAAATCTTGAGCCTCTTTAGGATTTGCTTTATGTTTTTGCAAAGTTAGTATAGTTTTTACAGGAACGGAACCTGTTCGTAACCCGGGGACCCTCTCTATATGTTTTTAAGTAATATGAATTATTTATGGTGCAGGTTACTTGTGTCTAAGTGTATAGGATGAAAACCTAGAGTAATACTTAACTTCAGTAGTTAGGAGTAATTCATTAATATGCTAAACAAAACAATTTTACCCAAGAGAGATCTTTAGGTAGAACATCACAAGTTGAAGTCAATGAGTTATTGTTGTATGTAAGAATATCATTGAAGAGATTATGGTATTATAGGAAGCCATTACTAATAAATGTTAAGTTAAGTTAACCAGTCTGTGTCAAATTTGCTTTGGGGAATTTTCAAGTGGATTAAATAACTTAATATCCTGTAAATGTTTGCCAGAAGAGTCAATGAATACTGTAGTTTGAATACCTGAATAATAAGGCAGTCTGGAACACTACTTCCTTGGTATGAATAAGTCTTGAGAAAAATAATCCGGGCCGTAACCAGCCTTGATGGCACCCAGGGCAATGGCTGAATTTGGCGCCCCCCCTCCCTTTACGGCTCCCCACCACCACTAACCCTCCACCCCCTTTCCTACAACCCCACTTCCACCACAAATAATTATACCAACTAAATTTTAATTCCTATAAATAATGTAGCATAATAGTAAATAAGGGATTGCTAATACACTGATGATGAAGATCTATAATTTTATGGTCGTATTAAGGCTTGAACAATTTAACTTCAAGAACTGGAATAATTATCTTTCAGTAATCAGCAATTTACTGCTCAAAACACACATAGTCTACATTCAGTTCAGAAAATACCATAACCCATTGCGCTGTTTAACTTTTCATGATAAAATTCTTTTACTCTCCAAGTAAACAGATTCAATAATAATCTTGGACAATTCTGATGACAGATTAACCAATATTAATTATCATAATACAATGCACAGTATATCAAGGCTCATGAATGTCAAGTAACTCAAAATGCAACAAATAATTTTTTTTTTAAGTATAATGGTGTGTTAATTACATCAGCACATATGAGGCACCTGCAGTAATATCACTGAAAATTAAGAATGCATCTTAAGAATGACTCTGGAACATCATATATTACAGAATCACTTTTCTTGCTTTCTTGGTTGCAAAGTCATCAATTACACTGTCAAAATTCATAGAATTTGCTATCTTCTGTTCAATTGATACAATAGCTATGTTAGGTAAATGTTCTTGGGCCATAGATGAACGTAACGGCGCTGCTCGGCAGCAAACAGACACATGGGGCGCCAAACGGTTGCCAGTCACCACCAAAACAATGTTATATTGACACTTGAAAAGTGTTAATAATAAATATATTTAATACCCAGTATTTATAAATTGGAATTATGAATTAACCTATTCAGTGTAGCAGTAGTACAGGCTTTTCTGCTAGCGTAATCTTTTTTTTTTTTATCTTCCTTTGAAAAAAATTATTTTAAAAAATTCATAGACAATTTGGCGCCCCCCTTACCTTGGCACCCAGGAAGGCTGCCACACACTAGGTACGCCCCTGAAAATAATTAAAACTTCTTGACTTTTTTATTTTTTATTCAACAGCTTTTCACATGTAAATAGTTTTATTATTTCATAAAGCAAAACCAAATTAGACTTTCTTACTTAAAAAATGATATCATGATAAGATAAGATTTCTACGTATCAAATAAATAATAATCACTGAAAGTTTAAACTTAAACTTTTCATCACATACTTATTGCACTTTATAATGCTAAATATATTGGATACTCACTGGGTGCAAGGGCTGGTGTGTTATATATTATTTGTTATTTTTTCTAAGGAGTAAATTGATAATTAATCAAAGTTAATCAATTTATTTGGCAAAATTTCGAATAAGTCAAGTTAAACTGTTATTTCACAAGTTAACTAGTTAAGCTAAGTTAATTAATTGCCCTTTGCCTGAATTACCACATCGCAATCGTGCCCGGCATTCACTGATTTGAAAACAGTTGAAAAGAATGTTAATAGATTAGTTAGACATGAACTCCCACTTGTGAAGCCATGTTGGAAATCGTTGATCAACTTGTGCTTCTCCAGGTGGTTTTGAATAGAGTTTGAAATTGTTGTTTCCAGCAATTTGCCTACGATTGATGTTAAACTGATTGGGCAGTAGTTAAAGGATATTGATCTATCTCCCTTCTTGAAATTCGGTATTACAATTGCTATTCTCAAGGATTTTGGTACTACACCTGTTTTTAATGACATGATAAACAAATTTACTAAGGGCATACTAAGCTTATCCCCTACATTCTTTTATACTCTGACAAATATCTCATTGGGACCTGATGACTTATTAGGCTTAAGCTTGTCTCTTTGCTCACTAACATCATTACAAGTCACTACTTGTACTGTACTATCTTACTTAATGTGGCCAATACCTTATCATAATCTCAAGAGGTAAACTTCACCACGATTTATTTTACTGCCTATAGCCTTCCTTTGTCCAATAATATTCTTTGAATAATTAATTATCCATTTGGTGTCATTGTTATTTGATTTTAGTTTTCTGTACGGTATGCTCTGCCCTTGTGCATTAAGTAACTCATTGCGTATTTAAATTTTTTTGGAACTCGTCAACCTCGGATCTCGTGATGAGGTCATCTTCAATCATTATATTTTGTGAGGTTATCATTGTCAGGTCACCAGGTCACAAATTGTCTGGTCCAGCCAGTACACAGTTGACTGGTCCAGCTAGTACACAGTTGGCTGGTCCAGCCAGTACACAGTTGACTGGTCCAGCTAGTACACAGTTGGCTGGTCCAGCCAGTACACAGTTGACTGGTCCAGCTAGTACACAGTTGGCTGGTCCAGCCAGTACACAGTTGACTGGTCCAGCCAGTACACAGTTAACTGGTCCAGCCAGTACACAGTTGACTGGTCCAGCCAGTACACAGTTGACTGGTCCAGCCAGTACACAGTTGACTGGTCCAGCCAGTACACAATTGACTGGTCCAGCCAATACACAGTTGACTGGTCCAGCCAGTACACAGTTGACTGGTCCAGCCAGTACACAGTTAACTGGTCCAGCCAGTACACAGTTGACTGGTCCAGCCAGTACACAGTTGACTGGTCCAGCCAGTACACAGTTGACTGGTCCAGCCAGTACACAGTCGACTGGTCCAGCCAGTACACAGTCAACTGGTCCAGCCAGTACACAGTCGACTGGTCCAGCCAGTACACAATTGACTGGTCCAACCAGTACATAGTTGACTGGTCCACCTAGTTCCCAGGTTGCTTGGCCCAGACAGGCTCAGTCGTAAATGGGACTTGAGGATCAATACTTCACTGTTCTATTTCAGATGATCTCACAGCTTCCCCAGAAAATTCTCAAGCTGCTTGAATTTGTTGGTTTTTCAGGAAATAAGGTAAGCATCATCTTTATCATGTCAGCTTAAATTTGTCACTACTACAGTACAGCAAATGTTTAGCTAAATATGGGCAGTAGAGTAATAACAAAGTTTCCATTAAGAAGTAAGGTTAACTTGACAGTACAGAGTGTGGAACTTGATCAATTATTGAGAGAGAAGTGGAAGCATATGTCCTGAGATCCTTTTTCTCATGCATAACATATGTATAGTAGAACTATGTTGTAATGTGCAGTACAGTTATGTAAGATTCACTTTAGTTCTTACCTTGATAACTTTGTTGAGTGATAAAACATGTTAAAGGTGTTGTACAGTACAGGTTGTACCTCTCTAGTCCGGCAACCTCGGGACCTGACCGGTGCCGGACCATGGAAATTGCCGGACCATGGAAATTCACCCTTTTCCTGGATAGATAGTGACTTGTGCTTAAGCCTGGAAGCACTAGCACCACTTTCTCTGCATCATGGTCTCTTTGAAGACATATTGAAGGGTTAAATGTCGTATAGTAGCTTCTCAAATTTCGCGAGTTTTTAATTCTTAACGTATTTTATTGGAACACACAAAAAAATAAATAAATAAAAATTTTGACGGCGGAAACTTGAATTTCGACGTGTTTGAACGGCCCGCCAACGTGCAGACGACGTGCATAATCGTGTAAACAGCGTCATTTCTCTTATGTACAAAAGATTCATTATTGTTTATTATTGAATGTCTTTTTTATTGAATTAATGTTTATATGTGCAAAATGAGCAATACAATTCATTAATAATACGTAGAATATTAAAACACACGAGGAAATGACACAGCATTGTATTCGTTGATTACAAAACCAGTGACTGACTGGTTCTACATATAAAACTGAAGAAAATAAGACCTTGGTTGTAGCTGTAGTAAAATTAATATGGTTGTTTTAAGTAATGTTATTTAATGTTAATAAATGGAACAATAGAAGTAGCTGACGATAATGGTAAAGAGAAAAGAGAGATCGCATATGTAAGTGCGCATGCGCACACGTGAAAACATATCGTCATTACTTTACATAAGAATATGAAAGTAACACTTATTTACTGTTCATATATATTTTAATTAATGTTTCTGAATTTGTTTTTATTGAATTAATGTACGTGTGTGCAAAATTAACAATATAATTTATTAATAATACGTGAAATATTAGAGAAGACGAGGCGGCTGCTGGCATTGTTTATGTTAAAGCTTACAAAACCAGTGACTGATTGGTTCTACATATAAAACTGAAGAAAATAAGACCCTGATTGTAGCTGTAGTAAAATTAATGTAAAAAAATGAATATAGTTGTTTGAAGTACCTGTAATGTTAATAAATGGAACAATATAAGTAGCCAATATAAGTAGCTAACCATTAATGGTAAAAAAAAAGTGAGACTGCGCGTATGTAAGTGCGCACATGTGAAAATATATCGTCATTACTCTACATAAGAATATGAAAGCAACACTTATTTACTGCTCATATATATTGAAGGGTTAAATGTTGTACTCTGTATAGACAAGCAGAGAGAGAGAGCAGCCGAACTGCCGGATGTAAACAAACCTTAATTTCCCGTGGCTTTTTTTTTTTTTAAGGGGATTAGCCCACCCGGGCATAGGTCACTGACCCACATTGGGGCCTGAGGGGCAAAAATTTAATACTCCTGTAATAATAATAATAATTCAGATAAGTAAAAAAAAAAAAAAAAGAAAAAAAGCTGCCTATCTACCTATTGGACAAACTAAAATCGTTCCGGACCACGGGAGTTTCCGGACCACAGAATGCCGGACTAGAGAGGTACAACCTGTAGTTAATTGTTTTGATAATATTGTATACTTTGTTTATGTCCTTTAAATATTACAGGATTCTTTTTCTCTTTTTGTGTTGAGTTCAGTCGTGTCAGGTAAGAGATCAGAAGGTAATTGTTTTTTATAACATTGGCTGTTGTTTATGTTTAACTGTTTGTGTACCTGTACTTGTTTAAATGTAGTTGTTTATATATAGCTGTTTGTGTGCTAGTTTATGTTTAACTGCTTGTATATTTGTTTATATGTAGTTGTTTATATATAGCGGTTTGTGTACTTGTTTATGTGTAACTGTTTGTATATTTGTTTATATGTAGTAGTTGTTTATATATACCTGTTCGTGTACTTGTTTATGTTTAGCAGTTTTGTTAATGTTAGGGTCACTATAGTTAGTGTTAGGGTCACTAAACTGTAGTTAATATTATTGTTTTTGGATCAGAATTAGGTAGAAGTAATAAGGATACATTAAAAACAAACAATAAATCGCTCTCTTAGCATCAAATTAAAGTTGGTCTTTTCTGAAGTCACTTGTAATATTAATTTTTTCTCATTGACTTAGAGTTGAAATATTAATAATGCTTGTGGATGAATCATGTTATCAGATCAGGTGCTTACAACCCAGACAGAACTGTGAAGCAGCAGCTAATTGATGTAACTCATTATATTTCCCTACTGTACAGTACATGTATAACTTGATCCCTAATAGCTTTCTCCAAAAGATAGTTGTCATCTTTAAAAACATAAGAGGTAATAATATGATATGACAGCCACATCATCGTGTCATAACACAGAACAGTTTCACCAGTACTGTAGCTGCAGGAAACTTCTTCCTTCATGGCTTAAGCTTGGCATTTTGGGGATACATTATTTTAACTAATCCATAACTGGGAACTATAGTCTGACCTTACAATTTCTACCCCATTGCCCTATACTGTATACAGTACTAGAGATCTGAATTTGGTGAGGAACACATTGGTGACTCACCAGATGTGACTCACTAGTCCTTCTCTTAATGACAATGGTTACTGTATTTCTTGGAGAATGAACTAAAAAGAGATACTGATTTATATTTCTTTGTATGTCTATGTATTCATTCATATCGATATACAAACAAAGTTAAACTTGAAATTTACAGTACAGGGGGCCCCCAAGTTCGATGATTTTTACTTCTCAGTTCTCGGTTATTTGCGGATGACACCCTGGATGTACCCAAGAATGTCTGTGGGTAGTTTTAAAGTTGCCGGCATTTTCACGGCTGGGACAGGGAGCCATTCGTTCTAGAGACAGTAATTTCCTTTACCTGTATTGTAAATATTTGTGTGTGTAGACACACACAGTCTACCCTCAATGCGTGCTCTATTTATAAAATACAGTCAACCCTCACATTACGCGGTTAATATAACCCACAGGGTACCGCGTAAAGTGAACAACATAACATATGGGATTAATTGAAATCGAGACCGGGCCGACCCCCAAACTCCACTTTTTGACGACACACAACTATGTTGTAGTAAAAATTTTATCTTAACTTTATGATGGTATGCACAAACAATTAATATAGAAGAGGTTAGGTTAGGAAAAATAAAGATTAAGTTAGGAAAAATAAAGGTTAGGTTAGGAAAACTAAAAGTAAGGTTGAACACTTACGTTAGTAGAAGAGATGGGTCGGCATACGGGGATGGAGGCTGGTTCCGAGGCAGAGGGGAGGCTACTGGCCCTCAGGTGAGTCACCATCACTGTCATCCACACTTGTCAGGGCCTCCCTGACAAATCCCTCAAAGTCATCATCACTGTCTCTACCTCTGTCACTATCACTGGCTTGGGCTGGCTGTGGTGGGTTGCGGGCGAAGAACTCTGTTATGCTTTGCTGACGGCTGGTGTTTATGTTGTCGTGATAAACCTTGAAGTAGGGCTCCATAGTCTGCAACAGCTGGGTAGTGAAGATTTCATACCTGTTTGCGTCAGGGTCGTCGGAAAGGAGGAGCTTGATTTTCTCAATACACTCGATGGCACCCCTAACATTACTATGGGATAAGCGGTGTTCTTCTTGGGATGACGCACCACCTGCCTCTTCACTGACGTCATCATCATCTACCATCTCGTCGGTAGTCACATCAGGATCCCTTATCACCTCCAGGATGTCGTCGTTGGTGGTCTCGGAGAAGCCTGCAGCTGTAACACTCTGCGCAGCTTCTCTGGCAAGGTCCACTGCTACTGCAACAGTCCGAACCTCACCAGTCACAGATTGACTCTGCCTAACGCCCGGAATGCCTTGCAACACATGTCTCCATGCGTGACGAACAGTTGCTACAGACAGCTGATCCCATGCCTCCACCAAGAAGTCCACAGCTTTCTTGATGTTGAATATTCTCCAGAATTGTTTGAAAAGTATTTTTTGCTCTGCCAACTGTTGATCCTCGTCGTCTTCGCTCTTGCTATCGGTGTTGGTGTCACTCAAGTTACGCAACTTGGTGTCACTCAAGTTACGCAACTCTTCCCTGGTGTTGGTGTAGTCGTTCAGGAGCTTGAATTTTGTTGTTGAGAATGCAGCTTTTACATTACAGATTAACTCTTGGTCCATGGGCTGTAATATAGACGTAGTGTTGGGAGGAAGGAAGACCACTTTTACGTTGGGGTGACGATCTAACAGTAGGGGCGAGTGTCCTGGTACGTTGTCCAGCAGCAACAAAATCTTGAATGGCACATTCTGTTGCTCACAGAATTTCTTTACATCGGGAACGAAACAGTCATCAAACCAGGAGAGGGACAGTGTAGAGAACATCCACGCCTTACGTGCGGTCAGCCAGTGGACATTTAGCTTGGTCATGTCCATGCTATTGTAGGCGTGCGGCTTGCGGGCTGTGTGGATCACCGATAACTTGAGCTAACAGGTACCGGAGGCATTGGTGGTAAACAGGACGGTGATGCGCTCCTTCTGTAACTTCCGGCCCCGAATCTTGCTGGCATTCTTCACAGCGAAGGTCTTGGAAGGTAGCTTTTTCCAAAAAAGACGAGATTCGTCCATGTTAAACACCTGGTCGTCGGTGTACTGTCCTTCCTCCATAATCTCACGTAAAAACGGAGGAAATTCCCTAGCCGCAGCACGGTCAGCACTAGCTTCTTCACCACCAATGTTTATAATGGTGATCTTGTTCCGCATCTTAAACCTCTGTAACCACCCAGAGGAAGCATTAAAGGGTTTGGGCTCTGTAATTCCCATCTTTCGTGACACTGCAGCATACAGTTCACGTGCGTACTCCTTAACAGAGCGCGTGTCGACCGCCATGTTCCGTCGCGCCTGACACACCAAGTAGCTCACAAGTAATTTTTCCGTCTTGAGAAGCACCTGGTTGTGGAAATACTTGATCATAGAAGCGCCTGTAGACTTTGTGATCTTCATGTGGTCCTTTATCTTGGCTGCATCCTTCTTTATCGTCCGGATCGTAGATTCGTTCACACCATGCTGGCGCGCCAAATCAACCTGTCTTGTTCCTTTCTCTAACTCTTGGATGATCTTGTACTTCACCTCGTAGCTTAAGGAACGTCGTGTCTTCTTGGGCTTAGGGCGGCTGGGTCCAGGCAAGGAAAGGTTTCTCTGGGGGCGGTGGTCCGGCGGAAGCCATTTTACAGAACAATGGATGCACGATTACACGGTGTGGCCTGGAGGGATGAAACTGCCGCGACTAGGTCAAGCGTCGTCTTTCCTCCCTCCCTCCCTCCCCCGGGTGGACACGTCATATTACTTTAAACCAATTACAGTTAGCAGCGGAGGGAGGTAGGGATGCATGCCCAATCACAGTCCGATACGTCATATGACGTCAGTGATAACGCAACAGAGACGTGCACTGCGCAACCTTACTGCGCGGCTTGGGCATGCTGAGGCAGAGGAGGGAGCAGGCGGGTGGGGCGAATCCAAAAATAGCGTTTAGCCGGACACTCTCTGCGTTAAGGGGTACACGCACAGCGGAATGTGAGCATCCTGGGTTCCGGCAGGGTACCGCGTAAACATGAAAACGCGGAATGTGGGACCGCGTAAAGTGAGGGTTGACTGTACTGTAATAGAGAACGGATTTGAGGGTAGACTCACATTTATAATAATTTTTTATTCTGTTTATTTGTGAGAGTATTTTCCCATCATTATTTATTCATATGTGTTTTGCGTGTGTCTACAAGTAAAAATTTACCCCCCCCCAGACCGCAAATGTTATTAGCGGATTTGGCGATTCGCTGCCATTTTGAGAATTTAACCCCCGAGAATTTCGGGGTCCCCTGTACTGTAATTTATTTATCTGATGACTTATTTTTTACTTTCATTTACTGTGTTTTGTCATTATATTTCTTCTTTTGTCTTAAATTAAGTGATTTTAGATGTATATAAGGACTTAGGCTATGATATAGTGGGATTTTAAACATTGTTTTGTAAGTACAATATGCATATAGCAAGTACGGTATGCATAAAGAATATAGAAACGGAATCCGTTTGTAACCCGGAGACCCCCCTGTACTGTATTTTCTAATGGCCTGCATGTGGACACTGGTAGTATTTATCGATCTGGGAGGAGAGCCGATTTGGCAGTCCTCTTTCCTTTGTCAGTTTTTTACTTACTCTGAAAGTCTGTATTGTATTATCCTTCTTTCACTTAAGAATGCTGTACAGGCTGACCAGCTTTATGAAAGAGTTCCGTTCATGAAAAACCTTTTGTAAATTAATTTTGAGTAATAATCAAAACAATTATTTTTAGCATATTTTCAGTATTACTAATGATTATTTTTGTAACCAGGATTTTTACTGATGAATTAAAGCTCAGGACAATTTGTTGTTTTGTAACTGGGATTTATGTAAATCAGTTCTTCATAAATAGGGAGCTGTCTGTATTTTTCATTCTTAGAACAGATTTCTTATGGCATGAGATGGTAAAATCCCAGTCTGTCTACTTCCATTTCATCTGCTTTCCATGAAGTTAAGTTAGGTTAGAATAGTTTAGGTTAGTTTATGTTTGATAAGTTAGGTTAGGTCATCATTAACTGACAGTAAACATTCTGAGAATATGTAACATTTACTGAGTAGATAGTACTGGGAGGAGACAAAGTGGGCATAAACAGATAAGATATAACAGGTACAGTACTCACTTTGTATTGCACCTTGCACAGCTCTTGGGTCTGGCTGAGCTGGAGCGAGGGTTCTTCTTGGAAGGATCACTACGACGGGTACTGTGTGCTTTAGTACTACTTGGGTACCACCTTATAGCTACATATGTCCTTGGCACTTCAGAAGGTGACCTGGAGATGGCACAAGTCATCCTTGATGATCATTTGAAGGCGAGTCCTTTAGTGTTACATGTTATTGATATTTATTGTTGTAGTAATTTAATGCTTGAAATAATACCTATACAGATATTGTAGTCTTCAGAAGAAACCATACTCTTTTATATATACAGTACAGTACTGTAATGAACTATAACATCTGTTTATAAAATGATTTACAATCTTCAGCTGGTATGGGAAAGTGAAGTTATTTAAAGTTTTACTTTATGACAGCTGTACCCAAATGGTGCTTGGTTCCTCTTCTTTGCTGCTCGTCTAGAGTATGTCAAAGGAAACTTCGATCTTGCAATTGAAAAGTACAAAATTTCACTGAACAGCCAAGACGAGTGGCGGCAGTTCCATCACCTGTGCTACTGGGAGCTGATGTGGTGTTGCATTATGAGTGCTCAGTTCAGGTGAGTACAGTACAATAAACCCTCCATTTAGGCATCAATTTTATGGGTATAGTCTGTTATGTGGAGGTTTCATATCCAATGGACCTCGATATAATGAACTGCACTCTTCTCTATATAGTCTATTATTTAGAGGTTTCACATCTAACGAACCTTGATATAATGAACTACACTCTTCCATATTGTCCGTTAAATATAGTTCTCGCTGTAGATCTTACTTTTAAACATACTGGCTAATTATTGGCATAGATTTGTTGTGATTGGAGGAGGGAATGAGTTCCAAGACCTTTAAATACCCTGTACAGTAACAATTTCTATAAGGACAAAAGTAAATATCTTTAACAATAAAACTAGATTTCTTCAGGTATAGTAATTCCACAATTAAAAGTACAGCACAAGTACATTATAAAATTGACACAAGTAAGAAGGCATACTTGTTTTTTATGCAAGTTTATAACATACTGTTGGTAAAGAAACTTTCTGTGATTAACAAATAATTCATATACAGTACTGTAATATCAAACACAAGTCTCCTTCACTGAACAAGACCAAGTAGAAGAACCTTAGATACTGTATAGATGTGCTAATTAAAGTGGCTTAATGACCACAAAAGATATGTAGTCTTTGTTTTTATATTATTACTATGAAATAACTGATAAGTATTTTATTGAGAACCAAAACTTTGAGAATACATTATGAGTGAGAACTGTTACTTTTTAACATTAAGAAAGGCATCACATTGCAGGGAGGCTCAGGAGTATGCTGACAAACTTTTGCTGGAGAGCAAGTGGTCTAAGGCAACATATGCATATCAGAAAGCGTGTTGTATGTGTATGAGGCTAGATGAGCTCACACCAGCAGAGAAGCAAGAGCTGAGTGAGACAATGAGGTAAGGACCTGTGTCTGGCTGCTGGACTTATTGACTGCACTGAAACTTCCATCTAATGGATACAGTCCATTCGAGGGAAGTTTTATATCTAACACTACCCAGTTAACAGCAGTTGTGACCTTCACCAGTTAACAGCAGTTGTGACCTTCACCAGTTAACAGCAGGTGTGGTCTTCACCAGTTAACAGCAGCTGCGGTCTTCACCAGTTCACACCACCCGCCTGTATTGACTCATGTTTCAAGGCCACAAGGACACATTTGCCTGTGTTTAGGGGGTAACATGTCCCTTACCCCCACCATTTCAGGCCTGTCCCTGATTGGTGAATATCATTAGAATGGAATGGTGTTGTGCAAGGGTGTGTGAACTAAGGAATGCATGCACTGTACTTTACTCTCTTTGATTTTTGATGCAAACTATAATGATGTGAAGCAAATCTTCTTTATATGATAATATATCTTGCAGGTATTGCATAGGAGAATTGTCATACAAATTATTCAGGTTGACAACCCCTTATCCGAAATTCCGTAAACCTTAAACCTCTGAAAACCGAAAGTTTTTTAGTGGAGCAAAACATACCCCCCCCCTTTTCATTTTTACAGGGATTAGCCCACCCGTGCACAGGTCACTGACCCACATCAGGGCCTGGGGAGTGAAAATGTAATATTAATACTAATCATTCATAGTGAATAAAATTTATAATAAAAAATTCTCAAAAATAAAATAATAAAATAATAATAATAATAACAATAATAATAATAATAACAACAATAATAATAATGAAATAATAACAATAATAATAATAAAGAAATACAAGAATGAAAAAAGATCAAAAGTGAAAAACTCAACCTAGACCTATGTATTATTATTATTAAATTTTTGCCACCCAGGCCCGGGTGGGCTGATCCCGGAAAAAAAAAAAATAAGCATTCTGAAATCAGAAAAATTCCAAAAACCGAATCACATCTGGCCCAAAGGATTTTTGATAAGGGATTGTCAGCCTGCTATAGGTATATTATACAGCTGCATGATAATCTATCATTTTGGGGTGTACGTTAACAGTAATGTAAACCAAAAGATGTGTATTTAGTGAATATTTGACTTGCTACAGGAGCATCCCCGGCCTCAAGCAACGCATAGCAGGCAAGAGTCTTCCTGTAGAAAAATTTGCTGTGAAAAAGTCTGCTAGATTCTTTGCTCAAGGAGAGACACTAACACTGTCTGCTCTGGAGCTCATCTATGCTTGGAATGGCTTCAAGATCCTTGCCAAGCGATATGAAAATGTGGAGAAGATGTTTGTCATAATAGACAGAGAGATGAGGAAACTAGAGTCAGTCAAAGGTAATGATTTCATCTGTTTGTATAATTTTATTTATCATTTATCATCTTTCCCATGGGTTAGCTGGTCAGTTGGTTGGTCTGTTTTCTATTATGTTGGTAAGGACTGGGTATGTAGGGGCTCTTGTATACTCCTGTATACCTAAACATGTGTCAGTGTTGATCAAGTCTGGTCTTAAATGAGCTCATTCAGTGCTGTTACACAGAGGCAGATCCCAGAATATTAAAATGTGGGGGAACATGGCGAGCATAGCGAGCCTACCCAGCTAGGGGGTTTTGGGGGGGCGCTGTAAACCCCTCATTTTTATTTATTTATTTATTTTTTATTATTAGTTTTGTTTTAAATGTGACCAATATCATGGTCATTTTGAGGCCATTTTGAAGTCCTGTACACTTGATATTAGGAGATATTCTATACAAAAATGCCAGAGTATAATACAGTACTGCATTAAAGAAAAAATATTAAAATTTTCTGATGAAAGGGGGGGGGGGGGGTCCAGACCCCCCTGGATCCTCCCCTGGTCACAAAATGCATTAGCAAGTTATTGCAAGCGTTCACATACATTGACAGAAATGTCTGCGATCTATTTGTAGACAAATCTGAGAGAAAATCATACAAATTTTTGAAAATGGAATAACGTAACTTTTCATTGTTTTGGCTGATTATATTTAATTCAGAGAGCTGCAATGTTATATTTGTTACTGACTGTTGTGTCTGGACTCTGAAATAAATATAGCTAGATTTAAATTTAATTACAGGAAAACACACTGACCAAGGAAAACAAAAACTGCTAGGCAAGCGGGCAATGACATAGTGACATAAGCAGTGTGTGTTTTCTCCAGGATTACAGTAATGTTCTTCGTCAGTGTCATCACCATCATCGTCTCCATTTATTTTTAAATTCTGCGTCATTTTTATCATTGTTTTCACTTTGAACATCACTCAGATATTCAAACAAACCATAATAAGCATCTGGTGGTGGGCTGTTTAGGTTGTTACTTGTCTTGTATTATTTACAGGACCAGAAACGACAAAAATTATGTTTAATATAGTGCGGTGCTCAACCTGAGCCAGGTCTGAATTTTTTCCCTAGTTCGTACAGTGTTCCTGGCGTGTCACTGATCATACTGTACCACATGAATATACTGTACAGGACATATATGTACCTGTCCAGTATCGACTTTTACACCCAGTCAACGACCAACTTACCTGTCCACCAATTAGTGTTACAACCCAACCCAGCCATTACAACTCAGACTTGTCACTCCATAGTAGCCTTGCCTGTTTCGAAGACTGAATGTGTATTATTTCTATATTGTAGGTTACCTAACTAAACTTTGATTCTACACACGTTATATTTGTTTTTTGTTTGCTTTCTTCAAAATATGTCAAGATAATGTGTTAAATAAATCTTGGTATTACTGTACTATAAACTAGTGGAAAAAATCAGACAGATATGACTTAAAATTTTACAAATTGCAGACAAATTAGAAATTTCTGTTAGTGGGAGTTCATAACTCTTACTCCAAAGAAATTATCTCTGATAGTTCTCTGTAGTTGGGATTTATTTGATTTGAGGCTGTGACCTATGGTGGAGTGGGCATCCACTAGCTTTAAATACAGTATGAGTATTTGACTGAGTACAGGCTACTCATCGACTTATGACCTACCCGACTTACGCCCACATGACCGCCCCAGTCGTATCAAAAAATTTTCAAATTACGTATTTTCGAGTCCCGACGACAATTTTTTTTTTGTAATTCATTTTAAAATGGCTGGCAAGCTTAAAAGTGAGAGTTTTGTGGTGCTGAGAAGAAAAAGAGACACCCATTTTAGATTTTCTATGTATTATTTTCGCATTTTCGACTTACGACCTATTCGACTTACGACCTGGATTTAGGTCCCTAACCCCGTCGTAAGTCAAATAGTGGCTGTAATGTCCTCTAAGTGCTTATAAACTTATATAAAATCACCCCTTGCCTGTCTATGGTATAAGCTTGGCAGCTGAAAGCATTCTAACCTCTCTTGGAACGAGAGGTCCCTAAGTGCAGGTAACAGTTTAGTGTCCTTGGACATTTTAATTCAACTGGCAGTCTTTAATATACCTATGTATATCTTGGGGACCAAACAGAATGACAGTACAGGAGATGTGGGGAAACACCACACTATTGAAGAACCTTATGAGGGTCAATCAATCTTGGTGCTGGGATTATCTATCATCTTCAAAGAAGCTGTCTTGTTTATTTTCCTGATTCACCTTCTTCCCACAGTGATCTATGAACTTCAGGTCATCGTCAACAGAAACACCCAGATCCTCTTTCACATTCAGTTTAAGTTATTGACATTTCCTTATCCTATTTGGATGACCTAGGTGCATGTTGTTGTCATTCAGGCTTATTTTTTTCTCAACAGTGGAAAACAGAAATGAGTATTACTGGGATGACTACCTGCTGGCTCAACTGGTAAAGGGTTCCTGCTTAGCATACATGAACTCTCCACTGCAGGCTGAAGAATGTTTCAAGTTTATTGTCAATAATGAGAAGAAGATCAAAGAAGATACTTACCTTGTTCCAAATGCCCTCCTAGAGCTTGGACTCATCCTCCTTCGAGCCAACGATCTTGACCAGTCACGCATTATTCTTGAACATGCAAAGTATGTATTATTATTATTATTACTACTACTACTACAGTAAACCCTTGATAACTCGGTATTCGATATCCCGGAATTTCATATAATTCGGCATGTATATGGTCTCAGAATGTATTATAAAATAACTTGGGGAAATGCTAAGTTATATAAAATTATCTGGGAAAATCTTGGCATTTTTGACCGCATGGGTAACACTTTCCACACTACGCTCCAGGCTTGGTCAATATGGTGTTTGTTATTGTTTTGGTTGGGGTGCACACTGGCTCACTCCACCCAGTACATGGACGTGGGAAGGGAGGGTGCTGTAGCACCACCGAGTATCTAGGTCACCAGAATTACTATTCAGCATGCCCTGGTAAAATTTGGTTCCTGCAGTACTAACCGATTAGCACCCAACAACCTCCCCCATTCATGTCAGGCCAGCCACTGTATGCAGAATGTCTCCAACATTACAGTAAATCCAATGTCAAAGACTTTATTTAATTTACAGTGCAATTAATTTTATCCAAATTCCAACTCTCTGAATCATCCAGGTATTTAAATTTTGACCCTTTAGGTTAAATTTCTAATTTAGTCCAACAATCTGAAAGCAACTGAAGTCATGTATTCATGTGTGTGACACCAGTAGTGCTATAATTGCTTTTTAAACAAAAATTGCTATGATAAACAATAAAATTGATACATAGTACAGGTTGACAACCCTTTATCCGAAATTCCAAAAACCGAAAAGCTCTGAAAACCTAAAGTTTTTTGTGGAGCAATTTTTTTTTTTTTTTTTTTTTTTGTATTAGCCCACCCGGGCACAGGTCACTGACCCACATCGGGGCCTGGAGGGGTGAAAATGTAATAGTAATAGTAATAGTAATAATAATTATAATAATAATAATAATAATTATAATACAGTAATAATAATAATTATTCATAGTAAATACAAATTTAAATAAAAAATACACAAAAATAAAATAAGAATGATAACAATAATAATAACAATAATAATGTAATAATAAAATAATATTAATAATAATAAAGAAATACAAAAATGATAAAAAGACTAAAGGTGAGAAACAGGACCTAGACCTATGAATTATTATTATTATTATTATTATGATTATTATTATTATTATTATAATAATTATAATTATAATTATTATTATTATATTTTAGCCCCCAGGCCCCATTGTGGGTCAGTGACCTGTGCCCGGGTGGGCTGATCCCTGTTAAAAAAAAAAAAAACCCTAACCATTCTGAAAACCGAAAAATTCCAAAAACCGAAATGCATCTGGTCCCAAGGATTTCGGATAAGGGATTATCAACCTGTATAGCATAAAATACAATAGCATATATTTTATGTACACAAAATAGCTCCTTCCATTCTCAAACCATCATTTAAGTGATGCCACAGTTCAGCCAGGCAGTTAACCAGCTGATTGAGAGGTGTGTGTGTGTGTGTGTGTGTGTGTGTTGTGACGTCACTTGGGAGGGAGGGAGGCTGGTGAGTCAGCCATGCAGTACAGTTCACTGCCTTCACATACATTCACCTCCCACACACACACACACCTATGCTCTTCATATTTTATAATTTTATATTATATTTTCCTTATTCCTAAGCCACATTATCGTATTTTAATTTTTACTCTTGCTCTGTAATAAAGAAAATGTTTTACTCGGGTGGACTATAATATCTTTAGTGATATAAATTACAATTATTTTTTTTAAATTTAATCTTTATTTTGTATAAGTGACCAAATTACAGCAGTATACAAAAGTGTCACACTGTTTACTGTTTATGTAGTGTTCCCTCCATCACATGAGTTGCCTATCTTTCCTGTGTCACCTATCATTCCCCTTTATCACCTACCATTCCCCTTTATCACCTACCATTCCCCTGCATCACCTACCATTCCCCTGCATCACCTACCATTCCCCTGCATCACCTACCATTCCCCTTTATCACCTACCATTCCCCTGCATCACCTACCATTCCCCTGCATCACCTACCATTCCCCTTTATCACCTACCATTCCCCTGCATCACCTACCATTCCCACCATTCCCCTGCATCACCTACCATTCCCCTTTATCACCTACTATTCCCTGCATCACCTACCATTCCCCTGCATCACCTACCATTCCCTTTATCACCTACCATTCCCCTGCATCACCCACCATTCTTTATCACCTACCACCTACCCACCTACCATTCCCTGCATCACCTACCATTTCCTGCATCACCTACCATTCCCCTGCATCACCTACCATTCCCTTTATCACCCACCATTCCCCTGCATTACCTACTATTCCCCTGCATCACCTACCATTCCCACCATTCCCCTGCATCACCTACCATTCCCCTTTATCACCTACTATTCCCCTGCATCACCTACCATTCCCCTGCATCACCTACCATTCCCTTGCATCACCTACCATGTCTCTGTGTCACTTACCATGCCTCTGTGTCACTTACCATGCCTCTGTCACTTACCATGCCTCTGTGTCACCTACCATGCCTCTTGCCTATTAAAATACTTCATTCTTCACCTGCAGTGCTTGTTAAGTGTTAATTTTTGAAAATTCGTAATACCTTATTTTATAGCATATAAGATGCACGGTCATTTTAGCAGGAAGTATTTAGGAAAAAACTTTTGTGTGTATTTTCCTCCTGCAGCCATAGTTTTCTTAAAACAATATATACAGTACAGTATTACCCCACTTTACACGGTTTCACTTTCCACGATTTCTCATTTACGCGGTACCTTGCCAGAACTGGACTTTCATTTTCCGCGGTGCATCTATTCATATACACGGTGAAGTATAATTTATTTTTTTTATTTTTTTTATTTAGCTCATAAAATTCATACAAATTACCCGGCCAGAATATAATTTACATTGCTGGAATTCTTACAATATGATGATCATTTTGAATATAAACATCATGAATTTTGCATTAGACATACAAATTTTAGATCTAATGTAATAATTTGGTTTACACAAAGCAAATATTTTATCCTTTGTGCAGAATATATGAAGTTTACATTCAAAATATTCCCTGACCTGCAAGGAATCCAGAAATGTCAATTATATTATCCTAACTTTAGTCTGAGTTATTATTTATTACTAAAAATGTAAATATACTATTTTCTCCCAATCCCTTCTCTGGTAGGGAGGGAGGGACCGACCCAGCTAGGGCGTAGTATTTTGATTGACAGGTAGTGTCCTTGAAGAATGTTTCTTTGTTTATTTACTGAAGATATATGTTTTAGCTCATAAAATTCATACAAATTACCCGGCCAGAATATAATTTACATTGCTGGAATTCTTACAATACGATGATCATTTTGAATATAAACATCATGGATTTTGCATTAGACATACAAATTTTAGATCTAAAGTAATAATTTGGTTTACACAAAGCAAATATTTTATCTTTTTTGCAAAATATATGAAGTTTACATTCAAAATATTCCCTGACCTGCAAGGAATCCTGAAATGTCAATTATATTATCCTAACTTTAGTCTGAGGTATTATTTATTACTAAACGTTAAAATCTAGAGTTTTCACCCACACATTTATCTGGTAGGGAGGGAAGGTGGGGGGGAGGGTTGGGACCGACCGATCCAGCTGGCGTGAGTGTGAGGAGGGGGGAGGCAAGGTGGGGTACTTTGATTGACAGATAGTGTCGTGAAGAATATTTTTTTTTTTATTAACTGAAGATATTTGTTTTAGTTCATAAAATTCATACAAATTACTCGACCAGAATATAATTTACATTGCTGGAATTCTTACAATATGATGATCATTTTGAATATAAACATCATGGATTTTGCATTAGACATACAAATTTTAGATCTAATGTAATAATTTGGTTTACACAAAGCAAATATTTTATCTTTTGTGCAAAATATATGAAGTTTACATTCAAAATATTCCCTGACCTGCAAGGAATCCAGAAATGTCAATTATATTATCCTAACTTTAGTCTGAGGTATTATTTATTACTAAATGTTAAAATCTAGAGTTTTCACCCAAACATTTATCAGAGAGGTAGGAGCTAGTGAGCTGGGAAGAGGGGGGGGGGGGATTTGAGTCCATTATTTGAATGGACATTAACCTGGCGACTGTATTTCTCTTAAATATTAATTGTGTGAGCATACCATCATAAAATTTAGATGTTATTTTTACTACAACATAGGTATTGTGTCGGAAAAAGTTGAGTTTGGGGGTCGGGCCAGTCTCTATTGGAATTAATCCCATATGTTCTGTTGTTCACTTTACGCGGTTTTCACTTTCCGTGGTACCCTATGGGTTCAATTGACCGCATAAATCAGGGTACTACTGTACCAGTAAATGTGTAAATGTGAGGAATAAACAAAAATAATACCAATAAATAATACTGTACAGTACTGTATTGCCAAACCAGTAAATAAAAGCCAAATGAAAGCTAAACAGTCGCCATTTGCATATACAGTAAAACCTCGATTAACCGCCCACATATGGGGGGAAGGGGCCGACTGATAATTCGAAAGGTCGGTTAATAGTAAATAAAGTCTACGGAAACATACATTTTCAAAGTACCTAGTATCCCTAACCCACCTCATGTAAGTCCCTCTATTAATTTTTGTTCATTTGCCACTTATATTTCGATAGAATTTGCTTTAAAACATTAACCACTTTAGTAAATAAATATGAACCAGCACAGAAACCGTGAATAAAAAATGGAAAAGTCAAAGAACATATGGCATCACGAAAATTGTGACCAAGTCCCAGGTTGCTGATCTGACTTTCTACCTCATTTACACACAATTGCAGGGTCTCAATTATTTCTCTTACTATTGACAACACAACATACATATAGGTATATTGTTTCTCACTCATGATTTTTTTTCATTTTTGCATTTCTTTATGGTTCTTTATTATTATTATTATTATTATTATTATTATTATTATTATTATTATTATTATTATTATTATTATTAAAATTATTATTATAATTATCATTACATTAT